GGGGGGCGGGGGGCGTCCGCAACCTAGGACGCGGGGGTGGGGCGCGCACCGGGCGGCGCGCATGCAGGCCCCGCAGCCGCCGCGGCCCCGCGTCTCTATCCATCACCCAGACGTGTTGAAATTACCTTGACAACTCGTCCGGCTGGCTCGGGATGAGCTGCGGGGCTGGCCTGGCCGCCTCGGGCTCGGTCCGGGGCCCGCGCCCCCGCCCGCTCAGGACCCCGGGCCCGGCCCCCTCTCGCCGCGCTCCACCTCGCGCGCACCCGGCGGCCGCGCGCCGCTCGCTGCGGTAGCTGCTCCGAGTCGTATTTCCACATTCCTGAACCCAGCCGAGTCCTTACCTGTTGAGCTGCGATCTCCTTTAGACAGAATCTGTCTCGGCCTCCCTCGATTGGGGGTGGAGGGGTGGTATGACTCGGAGGCAACGCGGTGCATCTCACGGATAGCTCGCACTGCCCCGAGGCAGCGTCCCTGTGGTAGCCGCACCCCAGTGCCCGTCCTACTGTGCGCCTACTATGTGCCTTGTGCACCCAAAGGCCCCTTTTGAGCAGACCCGCAGGGACACATGGAGAGACATGCTCCCCAGGAGGGTGGTGGACTCTGGCCCCTAGAATCGGCTTGTCCGTCGCCCTTCCATCCTTCCTTGCCTCCGCCCTTGTACAGGTGGAGAAAGCTGGGGGCCCTCAGGGCAGGGCTGGAAGCCTGGGTGCTGGTCTCCGTCCTGCAGGCCTGGGCGGGCGCCTGCCCTGCTCCTGGTGGCTCTGTTTATTGTAGTCTGTGGGCAGGCTGTGTCCCTGCGTGTTTGTTTATGGAGGTGTGGGGCGCCTGCGTCCAGCAGTCGGGGCTGGGGTGGGCCGGACACTGTTTTCCAGACAACTGGCGCCCCAGGTGCCATCTCTGCTGCCTGGCTTCTCACGGAGGCCTTGGGCAGCTCCTGGCAAGCCCTGGTTTGGGGCTTTAGCTCTCTGGGCTTTGAGGCTTAGGAAACAGTGCAGGAGACCAAGTCACTGACCACAGGGATCAGGAGTAGGGCTGGGGCCCACTCCTCCTAAAATCAAGTCCTCCACAGGGCTCCTGGGAGAGCAGCCCCTCCCCCACAGGCAGCGTTAAGAGCTCTCCTACCCAAGCAGCAGGAGCTGAGGGTCAGGCAGCTGGGGCTTTAGGGGGTGGGTCCCCAGGCATGGAGGTCTGCGCCCCTTCCTGAGCCACCTGTGCCCTTACTGGATGGCATGGGACAGAAAACAAGTGAGCCAGACCCCAGTGGAGCCCCAAGGCCAGGAGAGGCCCCTCACCCCGACTGTTTGAGGGGGGAGACACTGCCAGGCTCCTCTCCTGGAGGCCCTCGCCCTATCCAGGAGTCTCAGAGAGGGTCCCTTCCCCCACTTTCCTAAAGGAAGGGTGGGCAGAAAGGGGAGCCACCCCTCTGGCTCCTCCCAGAGGCCTGGCTTTCTGTGTGTGCTATCTCAGGGTATCAGGTAGGCAGGAGGGGACAGCGGGGGGCCCACCCTTCCCAGTCTACCCCGAGCAGCAGCCGGTTACCTATGCAACCTTCCTCCCCATGGCTGGGAAAAGCAGGGCATCCTGGGCCTTTGTGCTGGTGAGTAGGGTCCTGGTTTTGGCAGGCATCTCATAAGCACCTGGGCATTTGTGAAGCCTTTTTCACCTTACTGACCAGGAGACCACTGCCTACTGGCACCTGGGGGATGCTTCTAGATGCTGTATCCTACCACCTCAGAATCCAGGACTTGGGGTTTTAAGGTCATAAAGGTTCCAACCTCAACAGAGATTTCCAATATTGAAGGTTTTCTGTGATCCATGATCCCCACTTCCTGAGCTCACCCCAATGTGCTACATGTTTGTGCAAGTTCAGGGAGAGTGTGTGGCCACCACCCTCACCTGCACACACGTACACCCAGCACCCTGATGCTGTGCAACTCACAGGAACAGCCCTCCAGGCTCCATACCAGAGGAACCAGAAGTTGTCCCTCCTGGCCCCAGAGTAGATATGCCTTGGGTGTTGACAACAGAAAAAGAGGATGGCTTTGTGGAGCCACAGTTCCTCGCCTGGGGCACTTTTTGGATGGAGTGACCTCCAAGCCCCAGGCCTGAAAGAGGCCAAGGCAGGACAGGGGGCAGCGCTGATGGAGTCTGGCCCACTGAGGAGCAAAAGGGCTGGGGACCTGGGACCAGACGGCATGGAGGTGGAGGAGGAGGAGCTCTTCCGGACACCGGAGACAAGTCTCCATGACAGGCCACAGAGCCAGGAAATGGGCTCTCGGTGACCCGTGCTCCAGCACAGAGCTCCCCTTGCTGGATGCCTTGCCAGCTTGATGACTGCCCCCCAGCGGACACGGTTCACCCCTCCAGAAGGAGGCTTCAGCAGGGGCTCCCTCCAATGCTGTGTCTTTAGGGTTAAAGAAACCTATGGAAAGAGAAAGCATTGTTTGGAAAGTGACTTTGCACTCCACAGCCACCCCAAGCAAATCTTTAAAGGACAACCAAAGCTGTGAGATGGGGAAGCTGGCATTGGGGCCCCCCAGTGTGAGGAGAGGGCCTCTGTCCAGCACCCCGCCCCTGCCAGCCGTGGGGAAGCAGGACATACAGCTGCATTTCTGCACAGGGATGGCCTGCTGCAGCTTGCGCCTCCACAGCCGGGTCCCCTACCCCAGCGCACACAGGAGTTTGCTCACACACACCTGCGCCCACGCTCCCACAGGCGCACACAGGCACATGCATGCATGCGGCTGGCTACACGCTGCAGAGCACAGCCCCGAAAAGGAGCAGGCGCCTCTGTGCGGTTCCCCCGGGGTGCCAACCCCAGGAGTGCGCTCCAGAGCCAGCTCAGAGCTGTGTGGCTCACTGAAGGTGGGGGTGAGCGCGCCCGGCCAAGGCAACTTGGGCAAACCCTGGGGGCGGCTCCTGCCTCGCGCTCTGCTCTCTGGTCAGCCTCCCCTTTAAAAAAACCCGCCCGCCAAGGAGGCGGATGTAGGGGCGGCCCGGCCAATGACAGCTGCGGGCCTCGGGAGACTTGGAGACGTGAGCCAGCGCAGCGACAGAGCCGGTTCGCAACGACAGACGGAGGGCTAGACAGCCGCCAAGGCGCGTCTGCCACCCCCGACCTGATCCCGGCCCGCTCCTCTTGCCCCAGCGTCCGCGGCACCCCCAGATCCAGCGCGATGCGCGGCCCTGGCGGTGGGGCCTGGGCGACGACTGCCCCCTGGCCCGCGAGTCCGGGCCCCTAGCGCCCAGCGCAGCCGCCCTGCATCGGGGAGGGCCGTGGGGGCCCCCGGCCTTGGCTGGCGCAAGAGCCCTGTTGGAGGGGTCTGCCCAGCGCCCCCCTCGCGGCCCACCATGCTCCTGCTGTGGCGGCGCAGGGCGCTCCTCTCCGTCTATTGCCCGCAGATCTTTCTCCTCCTGTCCAGCGGCAGCTACCTGTGAGTGCCGCGGGCGGCGCGCAGGGTGGGCGGGTGTGACCCTGGCCTTCAGTGCTGGAGCCGGGCAGACAAGGAACTGGGCAACGGGCCGGGGAGGGGCGCCGGGTGTCTCGCGCAGAGGAAGGAGGCTGGGGTCCTTAGACTGAAAAAAGCTGCTGAGGTAGCGCACCTAGGGAACAGCTGCAGCAGGGAGAAGTCCAGCTGTGGGGTCAGAAAAAAGGTGGCCCGAGGGTACCCACAGCCCTCGCAGACCAGGATGTGTGCAAGGAGCCCGAGGGCCGCGGAGGTAGCGGCACAGTGGACCTTCCCTGCGTGTTTGGAGCAGAGGGGGCTCCCTCCCTCTGAACCCACGAGGTGCGCGTGGGCGTGCGCACGAGAGAGGGCTGCACACACACGCCTGCTTCCCGCTGTGCACACCGCCACACGGTGCACACGGCACCCCATCAGCAGCACCCAGCCTATACCCCGATGTTGCCGGGGTTTATCACGCCTTCCTGCCATGCTGGGCAGCCTGACCTCTGCTCTGTCAACTCCTCACCTGTGGACAAGGGGGGTGCGCAGCGTGCGAGAGCCGCGGCGGTGGCGCGGCGGGCCCAGGTGTCAGGACGGAGGGAGCGCGCAGAACTCAGACGCGCGCGGGCATCAGGCAGGGCATCTCCCACCAGCCTCCGGGAAGCCGGGGCGGCCCAGTCCGGCCCAGCGAGCCGAGGGGGCGCGTCCGCACAGCGGTGGCTTCGCCCGATTCCTAATAAGACGCATATGCTCTGGCCTCCGATTTAAAAAGAAGTTTGATTTATGGAACCGCTGTTTGGGGGAATTTAAGCTGGATGCTACTGATTAAACCTCAGAGCCAGCTCTCCCTCCCTCTCGCCTCCCCTCCCCCGCCCCCTCCTTTACACGCGGGCCACGTCCGGGGTCGCCTAACGCGGCCGGAGGGGACAGCCTGCCGCCTCCGTTCCCGCGCCACCCCTCAGCCGCGCGCCCGCGAACCTAATAAATCGCCGCGCCCCCACCCCCTTTTAATAAATACACAGCCAATTTCTCCTCCAGCTCCTAGGAAATTACTATCCTACCAGTTTTCCTTCTATAAATAGTCGCGCATCTTGAAACAAAAGTTTGCAACCGCAGCCAGATGCTGCGAGGCCCGTGGTTTCCCCGGCTGTGGGACATAATTACAAGGTCGGCAGAGCGAACGCTCCAGGCCCGGCCCGGCGGGCAGCCCCGGCTGAGAGGCATCGCCTGGGGTGGGTTGGGGGGTGGCGAGCCGCCTGAGCAGGGCGCAGGCAGAGTAAGCACAGTTCACTTCGTGGGGACACAGGCTGAAAGGGTGACCGGCCAGACAGTCCTGCTTCGCGTGCCCCTCCCCAAAATGGCAAAGGGGCTTAGGACCCCGCTTCCGGCTCTTGGAGCTCAGAGAGCTTTCCTCTCCCCAGAATCCTGGCACTGAGTTGCAGGCCTTGCCAGCCATCGGGCAGCTTCTCTGAAAAGTCATTTTTGGAGCAGCTGGCTGAGGTTTGCTGTGCCTGGGGAGGTGTGGGGAGCTAGGAGCCCCAGGGGGCCATTTCAGGAAGAGTGGGGGGATGAGAGACAGGGGACCCTGGAGCTGCTGAGAGTGGGGTGCCCTGAAGCTGCTGAGGGGTGTCTGGCAGGTGGTAGCCCCCAGGTTTTCCTTTGAGATGCCCCCTTCCTGGCCTGTGGTGGCCACCATCTGTACCCACACACTGCCAGCTCTGTGGGCTGAAATCCTTTTAAGGGAACAATTTTCTCCAGTGTTCCTGGGCCAGTGCTGGGGTCCCATGTGTGTCTTGGGGGACAGTCAGGAAGGCAGCCTGGAGGACTGGAAGGCAGGCCAGGCCAGCCGGGTCTTCAGCCCCAGGTAGAAGAAAGTGTTGATGTCACCCTTCCCAAGTGTTGATGTCACCCTTCCCCGGTGAAGAGGGTGGCATAAGTGTCCCTGGCCTCCTTTCCTTTGCTGGGTGGCCGAGGGGCTAGCCAGTATATGAGGTGACCCAGGTGGGCACCAGGCCCAGGGAGTTACACTGAGAACCTGCATGGTGGGTGGGCCCTGACCCTGAGGGGCCATGTGTGGGATGCCTGTGTCAGGGGGCAAGTTGGTGGGGGTCCTCGTACACTGGCCCTTGGCCCCGCGGGAGCACACAGAGAGCCAGCCAGTGAGCCCAAGCTTTGTTCTGCTCCAGAGAACTTTCCAGAAAGCATCCCATCACTCCCATCAGACCAGCTGACAGTTGATCCGGCCCCCCTTCATCCGGGCTGCTCTCCCAGCGCCTGTGCCGGCCTGTGGTCCGCACACAGCCGAGCCAGACCCATGGCTGGGCCCCTGCTGCTGATCGGGTTGGACGGGTGTGCTGGCCTGGAAGGGCCCCAGGCCCCACCAGATGCCTTGGGTGGCCCAGCTGTGTGTAGCGACCTGGGCCAGCACCTCATCCCTGTGCCCGCAGGTCAGGGCAGAGCTCCCGGAGCTGGCAGGGGTCATCGAGGGCCCAGAGGGGGCAGGTGGGGCCAGGGCCACCAAGAGGACTGGTGTTGCTGCGTCAGCTGGAGTGGGGGCCTGGCCAAGGCCCACAGCTAGGCTCAGGCTGAGCCACTGTCCTGGGCAGGTCCCTTCCGGTCTTGGCATTCTCTCCCAGATGTGGGGGTTGGCTGTGACACCCCCCAGGTCTTCCGGTGCAGCCTGTCATGGTGACCGCCTGCTCTGGGGAGCTGGGTGAGTCACGGGTGACCAGGCGGTTACTCACCGACCACCTGGCTATGGGGGGCGGGGCACCCACTGCGGCCCTGCCAAGGCGAGCCTCTTCCTGGCCCCTACTGTGGCTATGTTGGTGGTGGGGACCGCAACCCCAGAAGCCTCATGTGAGCACGACCCTTGGCAGGACAGGGTGCTGAATCAGGCCCATCCTTGGGCCTCTGCTGGCGCGGGCAGGGCGGCCCCTGCTTGGCATGGAATAGGTCACCACCTGGGAGTGATACCCGTCCATCTCGCGGGACCTCTGCCTCCTGCAGGGTCATGGGACATGGAGATGCTGTCTCCATAGACTCACTGGCCTGTTTCCCTCTGCGTTCACAGGCCATGACACGCCTGCTGGGCAGTGGGCAGCTTGGTGATGTCCTAAGCCCCAGCAGCCTCTGGGCTAGAGGCAGACAAATGGAGGCTCTCTGATCTCAGGAAATGCCACAATCCGTTGCCCCCTCCTAGAAAGCCCCAGGTCCATGGTGACCAGGTTGGGTGCTTGTCCAGCCTTGCCCCTTATGGCCTGGCCTTGTCTGGACCCAGCTGTCTCCTCTGAAGAGAGAGCCAGATTTGTATTGGCCTCAGCAGCTGGCCAAGAAATGGGTGCTTCTTTGGTGTCCGAAGCGGGGGCTCCCAGTGGCGACACCGAGGGAGGCCCAGCGACTGTATTTGTTCAGGAAGAGGCCACAACTCCCTGGGACATCTCCAAGGGCTTTCTGGAGGAAATGTCACCTAGCCAGAGTTTTGAAGGATGAATAGGAGTTGGTCTGCCTAATAAAAGCACTAGACCCCCAGATGAGAGAACTGCATGGCTGTCAGCCATGGACACCCAGGGGCCACCCTCTGGGGAGATGACAGCATGGTCCTGGGGGCTCGAGATGGGCCCTGAGGATCCTGAGGTTGCTCAAGTCACAAGAATCCAGGCCCAGCCTCCCAGCTTGGGTCCCGAAGTTCTCCAGGGTTGGTGCCGCTGGAAGGGTCCCGTGGTGCGCACAGGTGGTCTGGCAGCTACCTGGGAGCATCGGGTGTGTGCCATCATGAAGGGAGGTGATGCTGGAGGTGTCCTTCGGGTCCACTCTGTCGTCACACACCTCTCTGGGCCACGCTGGACACTAGCCTGCAAAGTCCTGGCCCCTTGCCTGGCCCTCCACCAGTCCCCAGGGCAAGTGGGCCACAGGTGCACCTGAGACACCCAGGGGTTCAGTCAGGATGTCTCACCGGGCAGGGTGGACAGTGTCCAGTGTTGGCTCTGGGCCTTTGCTCCTTTCCTGGTGGATGGCGTGGCTCCAGTGGGCTTCCCAGAGCCTTCGTCCGGCATGGCCCTGGGTCCGGCTCAGATAGGGCTCAGCTCCCTCCCAAGGGGACTGGAGGCGGGCGCCCTCCCTTGTCAGATGAAACCCCGGCCCAGGGCTCCCTCAGCCTGATGAAAGGGTCATTGTGTGGCGCGGGCCGCCCGCTGGCCAAGGACAAAACCACCGTTTGTCCTCCCTCCTTGGCTTGGGGCTGGGGGCCTCCCCTCAGGCTGGCTGGTGGGGTGGGGGTGGGTACAGGTGTGCGCCCTCCTCCCTTCCCCTCCTGTCTCCCACTTGGCTGCCGGCCCCTCCCCTATGCTCGCTCCCCCCAGGGCAAGCCTCTTGGTGGGCAGCTGGGCGGCGAGCTGTCTGGCCCCAGAGGTATACAAGTAGATGCAGGTGGAGCGAGGCAGAATGTGGGAAGGGCAGTGCCTGGCAAAGCCAGTGCTCAGGAGGGAAGGGCCACCAGGGGTCGGCTGGCCCTTGTTATAGAGGCGGAAGGATCCCTGGCCCCAGGTCGGGGTGCTGAGAGGCTGAGGGCATGAGTGAGTGGAGGATCTTGGGTCCTGCGTCCAGGTGGGCACGGCAGCTGTGGGTGGCACAGCCAGAGGGCTGACTGGGCCCAGATGGTTGGGAAGAGCTGGAGCCAGTCTCCCTCAGCTGTCCCTCCTGAGACACCCGAGGGCCTCTGGCATCTCCAGGACCAGCTCCCATGGTGCCCAACAGCCTATGCTCTGAAGTCCTGCTGCCAAGCCTAACCCGCGCCCTAAGCCACCAAGGGCCAGGCCTGGGTGCCTGGGCTGCCTCCGGTGCAGTGCCGAAGCCACAGCTCAGCCCTGAGTCCTGCAAGGCAAAGCCATTTGAAGAGACCCCACAAGCAGCAGTCCTGTAGCGTGACCTGCCCTGGTCCCGACACGGGCCGTGTGGCTACTGGGCAGCCTGCGTCCTCCCTGGCTGCC